TCCCGAGCCGAGGGAGGTTTTACTAACTGCAGTGCCCACAGCTCATATCCTTTGACTTCATCTTAGCTAAGTTATCCTCATACTGGTTTTAAGGCATACATCTCGCCATTCCATTCTTTTTTAGGGTTTTTGGTCATTTATAGTTGTCAATTATTTGGTATTTGGCGCGTTAGTTGAACAGATGTGTATTAGTATTAGTATTTTTTTCAATGTACTTGTGTTTCTCTGTATAAATAAGATGTGCGGAACGAAATAAGCTGAGAGTTTAGTGTTTAATTTGGTATTAAAGTAAATCAGTACTTTTTATTTTCATTGCACATTTCACCAACCAAGGTCACACAATGTATTTTGTATTCACTCCCCACAAGATGAGGGTTTGGGTTGCGGAGGGAGGCAGATGACACATTGTTTTAAGGGGAACTGGAAAACCTGGAGGAAATCGGTGCAGGCATGGAGAGAACATGCAAACTCCACACGGAAAGGCCCTGTGTCGCCTGGGTGTTCTTGCTTAGAGGTGACAGCTCTAACCATAGCATTGCTGTGTGGCCCATTACAACCACATTTCGGGGGTTCGAGGAAGTCTTAAATCAGCCGGCAATGTTTTCAAGACCATGACATTCAGTTTGTATCATTACATAAACATTGTCTCTAAAAAGCCTGATATTTTTACTTTCTCTCTGCTTGTGGTTGTTGACAGCTGTTGGGTTTGCCAAGGCTCCCCTCAGATAGGAAGCCAGCGTGCTAAGGCAGTTCCATTTCCCTCACCAAAACAAATATGGAAATGAGACATGCCATTTCAGGGTCCCATTGGGTGTCAACGCGGCCTGACATGTGGCTGTGGTCATCACAAAGACACAGGATTGGGTTGTGTGTGTGCGTGTGTGTATGAATGCATGTGTGTCTGTGTGTGTGTGTGTGTGTGTGTGTGTGTGTGTGTGTGCACTTGTTTTCAACTCCTGGTGGGTTCCATAACCTGAGATTCCACTCACGTCATGGGGACTGGTTTTACGTGGTGGGGCCCGAACACCGGACCCCACTGGTCCAAGCTTAATAATCAATGGGTAATGCTTTTCTAACGGTCCTTATGCAGTCTCTGTAAAAATATGGAAAGGACCCCTGGAGGTTTACTTTCCTGAAAAAAGTGTGTTATGTGTCGGAACCCTGGTGGTGGGTTGCGGGATATCAAGGAGGGGCACACTGGGGCAATTTCAGTCCAGCAGGCTGGAGCCAATCATGGAGCAGCACAACAGAGGAAATCAGGTGTCAGGCTAGAAAAAGGTGCAAGTGTGTGGTTCATTAGGCTGCAAGAAATCATGGAGGAGCACACTGAAGCGCACGCTTACAAACCACTGGTAAGTGCTGACTACAAGTCATGACTTCAAATTGTTATATAGAATGATTACAAATTATTTGTTGTTTGTGCAGCTTAGTCAAGAGTCCCTAATTGATGAAGTCGACTCAGATTCTGACGATTTAACTGTCAAGAAGAAACCTGTAAAAAAGTATGGAAAAAGAAAAATCAAAAACACTTTTCTTCAAGACTCGGAAAGTGACGAACCAAAGGCAAATAAGATTGTTATCATGCAGCTGCAAAAGAAGAAAAATGGGGGGCGAGTATACAGCAAGAGACACTTCTGCCTCTACTGTTCGATGTCCTGCCACAAAATGTCCCGTCATTTGACTAGAAAACATGGAAATGAAAGTGACGTAGCCAGAGCATTGGCTCTACCTGTGAAATCTAAAGCACGTAAACTTCAGTTTGATTTGATCAGGAATAGTGGAAACCGTGAGCACAATTTTGAGGTTTTAAAGGCCGGCATTGGAACTTTAGTCCCAGCTAAACAGCCAAATTCCCCAGTTAAATCCAGTGAGTTTTTGCACTGTATAGACTGTGGGGCATTGCTTAAGCGAAAGTCGCTGTGGAGGCATGTGGCCAGGTGCCGGCTTTCACAGAAAGATGCCCAGGCTAAACCAGGTAGAAGTAGGGTCCAGTCCCTCTGCTCCCTAGCCCAGCCTGTACCGGAGGGCATCAGCAAAAAGCTTTGGTCTTTAATTTCGGCAATGCATCAGGATGAGGTCACGGGTGTTGTCAAAGCAGAAAAGGGGATTCTGAGACTCGGAGAGCACCTGTACTTAAAACACGGGCATGATAAGACAAAGCATGATTACATTAGGCAGAAAATGAGAGAAGTCGGTAGGTTAATTAACGAAGCAAAAACCGCAGGGAAACTGAAAACAATTAAGGATTTCTTTATTCCTTCCAACTTTAACCATGTGATTGATGCAGTCAGGTCTGTGGCTGGATATGATGAGGAAACAAATCAATACAAGACTCCATCCTTGGCCCTCAAACTCGGCCATAGCCTCAGAAAGCTAGCAGATATTCTTGAATGTGACTCAAAAATGGAGCATTGTGTTGATGAACTATTTATTAAAAACCTCCAACGAAGCCGGCTGCTTTTTGAGAAGAGGTGGGACGTCTGTGTTTCTTCTGCTGCCCTACAGACCCTCCGGCAAGCCAAGTGGAACACTCCGGACCTGCTCCCTCTGACTGAGGACGTTAGAGCCATGCATGCACATATTGAGGTATGTCGACCTGAATATGTGCAAACCCTAATAAGTGAGCCAACGTCTAAGCATTGGTCTAAACTGGCAGTTTTGACTCTTTGTGAGGTCATCATTTTCAATCGAAGAAGGGAAGGTGAGGTTTCAAAGATGCCACTGACAGCCTTTACCTTAAGAAGTAAGACTGGGATCCATTCTGACATTGCTCTGGGACTGTCCCAACTTGAGAAAAAGCTGTGTCAGCATTTTCAACGCATTGAAATTAAAGGGAAAAGAAGTCGGAAAGTGCCGGTTCTTTTGACTCCTGAAATGATTGCTTCGATGGAGGTGCTGGTGGAGAACAGAAGGGCCTGTTCCATCTCTGACCATAACCCATACTTCTTTTCCCGCCCCGGGCGCAGACACCCACATCAGGGGATCAGACTCCCTACGCCAGGTAGCCAAAGAATGTGGTGCGGTGCATCCAGAGATGCTATCCTCAACCAAACTTAGAAAGCACATAGCTACTATGTCTACAGTTCTCAATATGAAAGAGAATGAGATGGACATACTTGCCAACTTCCTCGGCCATGACATTCGCATCCACAGGCAATATTACAGACTACCAGAGGGGACACTGGAGCTGGCCAAAATCAGCAAAGTGTTGATGGCCATGGAGCAGGGAAGAGTGACGGAATTCGAAGGAAAGAGCCTCGACCAGATACAAATTGAGCCTGAAGGTAATTCTTGATATTATTAAAATATGTATGATTTTTTTCCCCTAAAGGCCACTTGTATTTTTATTTTCTGTGCGACAGGGAGAGCAGTAGAGATCCTCTCGCAAACGGACGGGCTAAAAGAAACTTCAAGCGGAGAACCTTCAACCATTCATCCAGATGCACCCCATGGTAGTGGCAGTGCCCCTTCTGGTAAGTGTACCAGGTGGGGGATTACAGCCAGGCTGCTTGGTCCTCACCCTGGGAGTGTATATTGCTAATATATTTTTATTTCTCTCCCTAGAACGTGTAAGAAAGCCATGGTCTGCATCTGAGGTGAAGGCTGTGGAGAAGACCATGACACCTTTCATACAGACTGGAAAGGTCCCTGGGAAGTCTCACTGCCTGGCCTGCATTAATGCCTCACCAGATGACCTTAGACATCGGACATGGAGTGGCATTAAATTCTATGTCAAAAATAGAATCACTGCAATTCGAAAACAAAATCTAAAATAAAATTCCTTTAAAATAGTTGTTTGGTTTCTATTGACTGTTTTGTATTACTTAAAGTCTTGGTAAAAAAAGATTATGTCTATGGGTCCCATTCTGAACGGCCCTGTCAAAGGGACCCACCAGGTAACAAAAAACGTGTATGTGTGTGTGTGTGTGTGTGTGTGTGTGTGTGTGTGTGTGTGTGTGTGTGTGTGTGTGTGTGTGTGTGTGTGTGTGTGTGTGTGTGTGTGTCTCTGTGTGTGTGTCTGTCTGTGTATGTCTGTGCGTGTGTCTGTGTCTGTGTCTCTGTGTATGTGTGTCTGTCTGTGTATGTCTGTGTGTGTGTGTGTCTGTGTGTCTGCAGTGATTAGCCCTACACCGACCGGAAATATGAGCGTCTGTCCACGGCATTCACACGTTCATGATCAGTTGTTATTGAATGGAAAGGATGAGGTTTAATTGAATTCAAGAAATCAAGAGTAAGAGATAATGAGTAGTAAAAAAGTAAAAGTAAACACATGTATTGAAGTCCATTCCAAAAAAAGGACACCCCTGACATCCCTCAACCCTGCTCTACCACCCACGCACCCTCCGATGTTGCTAACGACACAGCCGGCGCCACAGAGAAGCTCCACTGTGATTGGCCGGAAATAGTTTGGCGTCAGATTTTTATCACTTATTGTTTCACTGTTTGTGTTGAATACATTTGAACAATAACCATCTGTTTCCAATAAGAACCGTGTCTTTATTCACAGCATCACAGTTAAAATCTGTAATGAAAAAATGAGTCTAAAAACTTACGCCGAGAAACACCTTTAATGAGATTCGAATCAATCTCAAAGAGCTCGCTTCGCCATTGTTTTTGTTCTGAAGAGGAGAAAGTAGCATCAGAACTTTACAATGGGAACGCTTTGGTGTCACAGGCCATACTGCGAGATCGCCCTCATGTGGTTGGGTGTGAGATTACAACATTATCTTTAAAACTACACACACTACACACACACACTCAAGTAAACGAACTGTGGTTTGGTGATTAACCACGGGTCTAGCACAAACGCAAACGCACACAGTGACGCCCGAGTATACACCCGCCTTGAGTATACGCCCGCCTTGATTATACGCCCGCCTTGAGTATACGCCCGCCTTGAGTATACGCCCGCCTTGA